CCCCCCCCCCCCCCCGCCTCCCCGGGAGCCCTTACCTTTCCAGCCCTTGTGTCCTCGGGCCCCAGGGGACCCAGAAGGCCCGGGGAAGCCTACTCCTCCTTCTGACCCTTTGAGGCCAAACAGGAAACCTGTGAGGAAAGCACAGGAGCGTCAGCGCCCACGGAGACCAGGAGGCCGTGGCCTTGAAGGAACCAGTGCCCCGGAGGCCCAGCTCCCAAGGAGATCCATCGCCTCACCGGGCCCAGCATCCAGGGAGAGCAGGAGACCCGCCACCTCGCATGAATCAGCCCCCACGGCGGCCCTGCACCCCACAAAGGGCCATCATCACCTGGTCCTGCACCCAGAGAGACCCGAGACCCACGGCCGTCCTGGCTCCCAGAGGCCCAGCACCCCCCAGAGGCCCAGAGCTCCACGGGGACTCAGCGCCCCAAGAAGGCCGAGCACCCCACAGAGACCTGGTGCCTTGCTGACCCAGTGTCGGGAAGGCTTTCCAGCAAGCCCCCCGGGTGGCTCATAAGACCCCATTCCATTCCAGTCTGCTTCTTCCAAAAGAAACTTGGACCTCTCTGTGGCCTCAGCCTCTAGGGGTGCACAGACATCGAGGTGCCTGCAAAGAAGTTCCATCCTCTGGCGCAGGGATAGAACCATTTCTTCTTCAAAACGTGTCCAAGGAAAGGTCTGGGACTTCTGACTGGTGCCTTGGGTCCCAGACCACTGCAGACTTCTGACTAGCCTGGAGCCCCCAAACCCAACCAGGACGAATCAGCTCCCCCTTTGTCTTTTTTCTCTGGAATGGTGCACTGTGTGCCCTGCCCACCCCCACGAACACACACACACACACACACACATGTGCACGCATGCACATTTAATGGACTCATGCATGCAGGTCTCTCGAGGCAAATCTGGATTCAGCGTGGTCAGCCTCCCTGAACAACCTCTACCCCACTTTCCCTCCCCCACCCAACCTCAGGCCACTTTGGAAGTCCTGTCACACCTGCAGGGCTCCACAATCCCAAGCTGGGATATCTGGACGACAGGATAAGAAATGCACTCGCGGGCGGGCCAGGCTTGGTGGCTCAATGCTTTGGGAGGTGGAGGTGAGTGAGTTGCCTGAGCCTCCGGATTCGAGACCAGCCCGGGCAACTTGGCGAGACCTCGTCTCTACCTACAATAAGTAAAAAATGAGCCGGGCATGGTAGTGTATGCCTGTAGTTCCGGCTATTTGGAAAGTTGAGGTGGGAGGATCGCCAGAGCCCAGCAGGTTGGTGCTGGGGTGGCCGTGAGCTTGCCACTGCAATCCAGTCTGGGCGAAGGAGTGAGACTCCGATTCAAAAAAAAAAAAAAGAAAGAAAAAGAAATGCTCTCGCTGCCCAACACAATTCTTGGGTCGCATTCGAGAAGAGTGCCATCTTGTGGTAGATATGCGGCACACGTTTCCAGGTCACAAAAGCCACTGTGGGCCTGTCTGCTTGTCCCCAGAGGCACCCTGGCCTCCTCATTCTTTTTTGAGTTGGAGTCTCACTCTGTCGCCCAGACTGGAGTGCAATGGCCGCTCCCGGCCACCACAGCCTCGACCTGCTGGGCTCCGGCGATCCTTCCGCCTCAGCCTTCCGAGTAGCCGGAATTACAGGCGCGCACTACCACGCCTGGCTCATTTTGATTTATTGTAGAGATGAGGTCTTGCCAAGTTGCCCAGGTGGGCCTCGAACCTGTGGGCTCAGCCAATCCCAGCTCCTCCTCACTCTTTAATCGAGTAGGGTCCTAACTCCCACAGGCAAATAAAAATGCCTCCAAACAAATAAGGATGTTGTGGCCATACACACTGTAGGGTGCCCGAAAGAGAAGGAATAGGCCATGGAGAAAGCAGAAAGCAGAGAAAAATGCTGGATTAACTCACTCTGGTAATCCCAGCACTTTGGGAGGCCAAGCATGAGGATTGCTTGAGCCCAGGAGTTCGAGACCAGCCTGGACAATAGAGCGAGACCTCATCTTTACAAAATAAATAAAACAAAACAAAATTTGCAGGGTACAGGCTCGCCTGAGCCCAGGAGGTCGAGTCTGAGGTGAGCTGTGAGAGTGTCATTACACTCCAGCCTGGGTGACAGAGTGAGACTCTGACTCAATAAAAACTGTAACTATCTGCTTGGAAAAAACACTAGCACTAGAATTTGAATGTCATAGAGCTCCTCAGTGAGTATAAATATCCATGAAAAGGTGGGAAGCAATACCGTCCCATGGCAGCAGTGGCTCATGCCTGTGATCCCAGTACTTTGGGAGGCTGAGGTGGGAGGAACACCTGAGCCCAGGAGGTCAAGGCCGCGGTGAGCCGTGGTGATGCCACTGCACTCCACCTGGATGGCAGAGTGAGACCCCGACTCAAAAACAAAAACTAAGCAAAACAAAAAAAAAAACCCAACTAAAACTGTCCCATGTAATTTGGTTTCACTACACGTCTACCATACTTACCATAACCCATTCATTCATTCAACAACATTCCTCCGGGTCGTGTGCTAGGCGTTCGTGTCCATAGTCAGAAACAAAACCGACAGAGCCCCCTGGAGCTTATGGCTTAGATGTGGAGACGCGTGCTAAATGCACCCCAGTAGGCACACCAACGTAGAGTTCCAAATGGCGGCCAGTGCTACGGGGACCAAGAGGCGTCAGAGAGTCCCAGGGAGACGCATATTTGAGGTTGAGGGTCTGTTAGGAAAGGCCTTTCGGAAGTGGAATCCAGAGGCCAGGTGTGATGGCTCACGCCTGTCATCCCAGCACTTTGGGAGGCCAAGGCAGGAGGATCATTTGAAACCCAGGAATTTGAGATTAGCCTGGTCAACACAGTGAGACCTTGTTGCTACAAAAACAAAAAAAATTAGCCAGGTACGGTGGCTGATGCCTGTAATCCCAGCACTTTGGGAATCAGAGGCGAGAGGATTGCCTAAGTCCAGGGGTTCGAGACCAGACTGGGCAACTCAGTGAGACCTCGTCTCTACAGTAAACCAAAAAATTAGTTGGACATGGTGGTACACGCCTATAGTCCCAGCTACTCGGGAGGCTGAGGTGCAAGAATCACCCGAGCCCAGGATGCTGAGGCTTTAGTGAGCTGCGATTGTGCCACTGCATTCTACCTGGATGACACAGTGAGACCCTGACTTTGAATAAATAAATACAAAATCCAAAGAATAAAAGCAAGTCAGCCAAGCAAGGAGCATGAGGGAATGTTCCAGAGAGAAAATAAGGGAGCCCCAAAGCCTTGAAATACGATGGGAGTGAGGGGCAGACTTCCAGGACGGGAGAAGACAGGGCCACGTCAGGCCACAAGGTCTGTGGAACCGGGCTTGGTTTTTACCCCAAGGGCAATTAGAGCTGTTAAAGCCCGCTGGGAGATTACGAGGTCTATGGGAGGAGGAATGTGGGTCGTCTGTCCTAGAAGGCCGAGTGCAAGGTGGCGGTTTAGATCAGGACAGAAGCAGGGGAGGGCAGCTCAGCGGACACGTTCGGGGTTCCCAAGGTGGACTCACCAGGATGTGGGGAGGGCATCAGTGGGGGGGGTGAGGCACCCAGAGGACGCCGAGGTGGGGGCAGGGGTGGGGAAGGAGGGGACCCAGAGCTCGACCGTGGACATTCACGGCTTGAGGTGTCTGTGAGGCACACATAGGTGCCCGTATGTTCAGTTAACGGGTTTTCATTTTTTCCTTTGAGCCAGGTCTCACTCTGTTGCCCAGGCTGGAGTGCAATGGCATGCTCACGGCCACCACAGCCTTGACCTGCTGGGCTCCAGCGATCCTTCCACCTCAGCCTCCCAAGTAGCTAGAGCCACAGGCGCACCCCACCATGCCTGGCTATTTTTTGGATTTATTGTAGAGACGAGGTCTTGCCAAGCTGCCCAGGCTGGTCTCGTACCCCTGGGCTCAGGAAGTCCTCTCGCCTCCACCTCCCAAAGTGCTGGGATGACAGGCGTGAGCCCCCACGTGAGGCCGCAGCTTATGTTTGGAGCTCAGAATATGGAACGGGGCTGGAGAGAAACCCGAGAGCGACCAGCGTGTCCATGGGGACGGCGTGTCACCTGGTAGAGCGGGCAGCGAGAAGGGTGTGAAGCTGAGATACAAGGGGCTTCCTCGTCTACTGGATTCGGAGAAGAAGGGGGAGGAGGTGGCAGAGTGGTCTCAGAGGGATGGCTTGAGAGATGGGGACAGGGGCCTTCATGGGCAAGACACAACAGCATCTGAAGAGACTGCCGCTGTGCCCTGCACTGAGGAGAGGCAGCCATCGAGATTAAGCCCTGGATGTGGGTCCATGGTGGTGACGGGTGACCAGGGCAACCGCCATCTCAGGTCAGCCGTGGACGCCGTGGGCTTTCTACAGGTCTCCAAACTCTCCTCGTATTTCATGGGAAGTGCAGTGTCCCAGGTGGAGATACTTAACCATGCACACCTCAGAGTGCTGGCATTTAAGATCTGGGATGCGTCATTCAGGGCGGAGACTAGGTGTCCTTAGAGGAAGCATCGGACGCTTGACAGATTGAGTCTAAAAGGCACAGAGTGGCTGCCTGGAGGCAACGGCCTTCCTCTGTCCTGCGTTGCTTTCCTTATACTAATTAACGTAGTGATAATTTCAGTCAAGTGGCAGATCTCAATGTCTTGTAGAGCAGAACAGAACTCTCCAGACTGGGGTCCAGAACCTGAACTGGAATAGGAGGAAGTGACCTATTTCACCCAGAAGGAAAACGGTCTTCACAGTTTGATTTTACTGGAACTGCAAATGGCAAAAAATCCTGGCTTTCGTCAGAATCAGTCCATAAAACAGGGTGAAATGCAGTCAGCAAGAGAGGCCAACAACTTCATTCCGGGGAGAAGTCACAGGAGGCCGTGGCAATCAAGGTCACGGGTATTAAATTACAGCGATCCGGGGCATTTTTCAAAGGCGTTATGAGGCTGGCTACTTTTTGTACAAGAAGTTGCTAAAAAAAGGTGATTTGGAAACAGTGTGTCTCACAGGGGTAAGATATATGTTTAAAGGAGAATTTAAGTTGTGTGCTTTTGACATTTTTAGCTGATAAAATGTATCTGATAAGGGTCCCTCTATTTTATGCATTTCCTCACCAGTCTAGAATACAGATCAGAAATAAGTTAATTTGTTTGCAGTTGATTTGTGTTCGTAACTCACAGACTTACTGAGCAAGATTTATAAAGTATGTGACTGTATCTTTATCAAAATGGAATTTAGTTGCAGGAATCCTGGCAACTATTAATCACAGCTTTAATCACAGCTCTTTAAAGGGGCATATTCTTATGCTTTTATTTTCAACACATTATGCTCTGTTCCAATCCAGGAAAGCTCAAAAGATCTCATTTACCTAGAAAACGGAAGGTGCCTAGAAACTTAACTGCTATCATAGATGCCACAGTAGTAAATATTACTTTGGGATAACAAAAAAAAAATTAAAGATGGCACTGTGCTATTTGGCAGATGGATGATCCAGGGAGATGTCTGCGTCCCAAAATTTTCAGGAGACTGGGAACTTGTGGCTTTCCTACTTGAAGCAAAACCAAATCGAGTTGAAAATTTACTACAGAATATCAAATGGAGGCTGAGACTGCTGATTCCCTTAATGGAAGAAATTCATGGAGATGTGCTTCTAACACCTCTGGGAAAGTATCTTTCAAAGGCAATTAAAACACAGACCTTGAAGTTGACCTTTAACGAAACTAAACACGATCCGTTAGCAAGTATAATGTTCTTCCTCCCTGAAGGTGGGAGATGCCGACAGATGATCTGGGGGCAATGCTGGGAATGAAAGCTGTTTCAGAAAGAAGAGGCTGCTACATTTTGGCCAGTGCCACACGGAAAGAGAACATGACCTCCTGTTTTCTTCCAATGCCTCCTTTACTCTCTTGAGGGGATAAAAGAGAGATTACGCCCAAAACATCATTTGCTAAACGATCAAGCTGAAAATGACTTTTTTTGAGTTTGGGTCCCACTCTGTTGTCCAGGCTGAAGTCTAGCAGCATGACCACAGCTCACTGCAGCCTCGACCTCTTGGGCTCAGATGAACCTCCTGTCACAGCCTCCCAAATCACTGGGTCTAACAGGCGCATGCCACCACACCTGGCTAATTTTTCGATTTATTGTAAAGCTGCGGTCTTACTATGCTGCCCAGAGTGGTCTCGAACTCCAGGCCTCAAGTAATCCTCTTGCCTCAGCCTCCCAAAGTGCTGGGATTACAGGCATGAATCACTGTGCCTGGCCAAGAATAGCCTTTCTTGACAGCACGTTCTCCTGCCTTCTTAGACAACGCAATCACAGCTACAAGGTGAGTCAGGAATGCCACAACCTGGAAATACCATCCTGCGCTGACACGGCGTCATGCCTTGGGCTTACATTCTAGCACTGGCCTCATTTATAAACTCTGTGACTGTGTGTCCCGGCCCTGGCCTATGACTGACACTCATTTTTGGAGACAGTGCGGCCATCCTGTCTGCCCTCAGCCACTGTCACCTGTCTGCCTGTGGCTCTGACTCTGCCCCGGTTGGGAACGAGGCGATCGAATCGGCTTCAGCGTGTTGGTGAAACAGGAGAGAGGCTGCAGCCGAGCGGGAGGTCCCCACTGCGATGGAAAGCACGTGGAACCTGTCACCCAGACGCCGGGACAGCTGTATCCCCTCATGTCTGCTTCTGGCCTGTGCATCTCAGACACTCAGCTGGGGACCTTCGTCACTGGAGTCTCAGCCGCCAAACCTCCCTGCGCCGTGTCCAGGGCTTCTGATACTTAGAGGCGTATGGGGCTTCAGCCTGTCTTGTGTGGACTCCAGAAGGCGCCCACCACACCCTCGTCCCCCCAAATCCACCACCCCAAACCCACCAGCCTCTGGGGTTCATTTGCAGAATGACTTAGCAGAGCACCCCCACAAAACCCAGCCGGGCTCAGGCTTCACCTGAACACTGGACTCCCCCCCGCCTGGTCTTCTTCCACTCACCATCCGGTCCAGGTTGCCCGGCGGGTCCGGGGAGTCCTCGGAGGCCTGGCTTTCCGTCAGCTCCGGGTGGGCCGGGGTAGCGCGCGGGGACGCCCACATCTCCTCTGAAGCCTTTGGGTCCCATCTCGCCTGGGAGGCCTCTCTTCTCATCTGAAACCCGACAACACACACCGGCAGCATGAGTCTTCCGATTCTGGACGCTGGGGACTGCCCCATGGCCACAGGAGACCCCCGTGGGGCTGGCGGGGTCACCCTCCCAGGGGCGAGGCCATGGGGGCATTTCACAATCAGTTTCCAGCTTTCCAGAAGCATCTTCCCTCGCCCCCAGGTAAGGCCTGACGGTTGTGATCAGTTACATCTGATGACTGTCCCCTTCCCAACTCCCTGAGGGCATCAGGTCAGTCACCCAGAGTGACACAGCCTAACCTAGTCGGGAGTCATTGTCACATGGGCAACGGTTCCGTGAAGACATCAGAGCATGCACACAAGAGTCCTCAAGGCTGCTGAACCAGGCGGCGAGGACAGTCATGGCGGAAGGGCTATGCGGTCAGCGAAGGCGGGTGTTTGTGTTGAGACCCGTGTGCAGGTGATGGGGGTCATTACCTGTGTCTCCGATGGACAAGCCAGGGGGGCCTGGTGGACCCTGGTCTCCTGGCTCGCCCCGGCTTCCTGGCTCCCCGTGACCCCCTGGGAATCCTGGGTCACCTCTGGTGCCTGGAACCGAGACAGACCCCATGGTAAGAACGTGACTGTCATCCAGGGATCACAGCAGATGTTCCCTTTTTCACTGAATGCATATTTACCAAATACCTTGTCCCTAGAGTGAGGTATGCTGGGCATTAAGATGTTTAATATATAGGGTGGGCTCTTTTTTTTTCCTTTTGAGACTGAGTCTCCAACTGTCACTGATGCAGGAGAGTGATCATCACTCACTGCAGCCTTGAAATCCTGGGCTCAGGTGATCCTCCTCCCTCAGCCTCCTGAGTAGCTGGGACTACAGGTGCATGCCACCACGCCTGGCTAATTTTTTTCAAAATTTTTTTGGAGAGGTAGAGCTTTATCATGTTGCTCAGGCTGGTCTTGAACTCCTGGCCTCAAGCAACGCTCCTGCCTTGGCCTCCCAAAGTGCTGGGATTACAGGTATGAGCCACCATGCCCAGCCTGATTCTGTCTGCAAGAAGCTCATTCACAATCGAATGGGAGAAGGTTCCTATAAATATTAAACCACATAGCATGCTAAAAAAGTACACGAGGGCTTTGAAGGAGGGGATTATTTTGGAGACACACCTGCCAGGGACAGCCACAGAGAACAAGCATCGCAGGAAGAGATGACGTTTTGAGTCCTTGGTGTGGGAAGGAGGCTCAGTACTGAGCACTTTACGTGAATCTGATGTCCATAAAGCTCCGTGGTGTGGACGCGCATGGTTCCCTCCTACACGCCAGGAAGGGTGTCCCGAGGGGAGAACGGCCAGGCTAATGCCCAGAGGCTGTGTGGCAGGATTCTGGGAGGAGAGTTGGGGTGCAGGGAACGGGCTGGGGGGAAGATGGGCCACGGCAGCAGGTGAGTCGAAGAGCCGACCGAGAAGGAAGCGGTAGGACTGCTGTCCTGCCGTGCAGGGTCCTGGAGGTGGGGGGTGGGGATGGGGGGGAGGCCACCCTGCTCTTGGAGCCTGGGATTCGCTTCTTGTCCTGGGATTAGCTCCAGGAACTAGAATAAACTCCCTGCTCTGGGATTAGCTCCTTGCCCTGGGATTAGCTCTCTGCCCTGGGACTAGCTCCTTGTCCTGGGATTAGCTCTCTGGGAGGGATTAATTCCCTGTCCTGGGATTATCTCCCTGCACCGGGATTAGCTCCCTGTGCTGGGATTAGCTGCAGGAACTGGGATGAGCTCCGGTACTAGGATCAGCTCCTTGCCCTGGGAGCGGCTGTATTCCGCAGCCAGGTGGCCCGGATCGGGCTCATGCTCCTTCACTTTTTACATACGTGACCTTGGAAAAGGCTCTTCACTTCCCTGGGCTTTGATTTCTCCCTCTGTCAAATGGGGTGAATGCACAACTCTACCTCACAGGGTCACTGGGAGGAGGAAGTACATATACACGATGGAGTATTACACAGCCATCAAGAAGGACAAACATATGGACTTTGCAGCAACTTGGATGGATTTGGAGTCCATCATACTCAGTGATCTATCACAGAAACAAAGAGCCGAGTTCCATATGTTCTCACTCATAAACAGACCTTGAACAATGATAATGCTATAAGAAAGTGATTGGCAGTAGTGGGAAACTGTCAGGGGAGGAGGGTGCGACCCTGAAATGTACCCCCCAACTTTATAACAAAAATTAAAAAAAGAAAAGTACAGTAGAATAGCCTAGACATTGCCCAGCACACAGGGGGGCTCCGTAAACGTCAGCCATTCTTAACAATAAAACCTAACATGTTGGACCTCTCGCTTGTTTGGAAGAATGGCAGGATGGCCTGTTTTTAGCTATCGTGGAATTCTTTCTTTTAATGCAAAGCCCTCTCTTCTTTCTGCACTTGGACAAGTTCACGCAGCACTCCCTTGCCACAGACACTTTTATTTTCCTCTTTGCCCTGAGGGAAACGGTTCATCAGGCAACCTTTGACTCTCAGAGACCCTGGAATGCAACCCCATCCACGTTCCCGCCCACCAACAATGCTGGGATGCTGTCGAGGGCTGCTGAGGCATTTCTGAATCTGCTGGTGGGAAAAATGAATTTTAAAATCACCCATCCTCCTGGTGTGATGCCCAGGATGACAGCAGGGCGAGAAGCAAGGACTGAATGAATTCTGGCCTCTCAGTCAGGGACATTTGGAAAAATTGCAGAAGGAATATTGTCAACATGAATTTAAAAAATGTGTTCCCCAAATCTCAAAGAGAATGCTTCCAGCCTACCCAAATCACCAATAGTCAGTCAAGTCAAGGCAGGTTACTCGGCCACAGGGTTTGGGGTCTGGCAGACACGAGGCCGCCGGGGACGAGATGGTGACACACAAGTTTCACATGAAGTGGATCCCAGGAGCCAAGCACAGACTTCAAAACATACTCATGGATGGCTCATGTCACCCATGGAGAAACTCCAGGGGCCTCCTCAACGCTGGATGAAGACGTTGCTGAAGGAATGACCAAAGTGACAGACAGCTCACGTCCAAGCAGGAAAGCAAATTCCTGACACCCGAACATAGGCGATGGGGTGGGCCCAGTGAGCTAATGGGATTGGGAAGGAGACATCAGAGTGACTTCATTTAAAAAGCCCTGCCCCCTTGGCCAGGTGTGGTGGCGCACGCCTGTAACCCCAGCACTGTGGGAGGCTGAGGCGAGAAGATTGCCTGAGCCCCGGAGTTCAAGACCAGCCTGGGCAACAAGGCGAGACTTTGTCTCTACAACAAATAAAAAATTAAGCTGGCAAGGCTCCAGCAACTCGGACGGCTGAGGTGGAAGAATGGTCTGAGCCTGGGAGGTTGAGGTTGCGGTGGCTGTGAGTGTGCCACTGCACTCCAGCCTGGGCTACAGAACGACACTCTGACTTGAAAAAAATAAAAAGTCCCACCCTTGATCATGCCTGTCTCATGTGTGTGTGTGTTGGTGTGCACACCATTCGGTTGTACAGGCAGGTGTTTGCTGAGCGTCCACTCTGCCAGAACTGTTCCAGGCACCGGGGACACGGTTACGAGTAAGACGGGCAGTGAAACGCCTGTCCTCAGGGAGCTTCCTATAACATGATACGTCATCCCTAGATAGAGATACATAGAACTGTTGTATATATCTTTATTTATTTACGTATTTATTTATTTGGGTTGGAGCCTCCCTCCATCGCCCAGGCAGGAGTGCAGTGGCACGCTCTTGGTCACCCCAGCGTCGACCTGCTGGGCTCCTGTGATCCTTCCGCCTCAGCCTTCCAAGTAGCCGGAATTACAGGCAGGCACCACTGCGCCAGCTAATTTGTTTATTTATTTATTGTAGAGACGAGGTCTTGCCAATTTGCCCGGGCTGGTCTCGAACCCCAGAGCTCAGGCGATCCTCTCGCCTCCTCCTCCCAAAGTGCTGGGATGACAGGCTGAGCCACAGAGCCTGGCCAATATATTTTTATTTTTATTTTATTTTTTGAGTCATGTCCCGTTTTGTCACCACAGCCCACCACAATCTCAGCCTCCTGAGCTCAGGCAATTCTTCTACCTCAGCCTCCCAAGGAGCTGGGACTATAGGTGTGCGTCGCCATGCCCGACTAATTTTTAAAAAAATGTTTAGTACAGATGAGGTCTTGCTATGTTGCCCAGGCTGGTCTCAAACTCCTGGGCTCAAGCCATCCTCTGGCCTCAGCCTCCCAAAGTGCTGGGATGACAGGCGTGAGCCCCGATGCCTGGCCTCGACACATGTACATAGGATTATTAGGATGGGGTGCCCAAAACACTTCTTTTAACTTAGAAGCGTGCGCAATCTGGCCGGGCTCGGTGGCTCAGCCTGTAATCCCATGCTTTGGGAGGCCGAGGTGAGTGGATTGCTTGAGCCCGCAGGTTCGAGACCCGCCTGGGCAACTTGGCGAGACATCATCTCTACAATAAATCAAAAAAATTAGCCGGGCGTGGTAGCGCGCGCCTGTAGTTCCAGCTACTTGGAAGGCTGAGGCGGAAGGATCACCGGAGCCCAGCAGGTCGAGCTGCAGTGGCCAGGAGCGGCCACTGTAATCCATCTGGGTGACAGAGTGAGACTCCAACTCAAAAACAACAACAACAACAAAAAACAAACAAACAAAAAGAAGGGTGCGCAATCGAAAAGGCTCAAAGTCCAGGGCTCTCGTCGCAGGCTTAGAGCCAGGTTTCCCTAGGATCCTGCCAGCTTGGATGGCTGAGTATTAAGGAAAAGACGAGGACAGCCTTGGCTGCCGTACACGCACAGTCCCTCATCTGCGCTCCGAGGTCGGCGGCGACGAGGGAATGGTAGGTTACCTGCACTCCCTGGGGAACTAACGGCCCTGAAGTCTGAAAGGACGTGGCTGTTTACAGACTGTGGCTGATGCCCAATTTGAGGCATCGGTGGGCAGGTGGAGGCTTAAGCGTCTCGGAACACTTGGAGGAAACGCCCTGGAAGTGGACGGGCCTGCTGCCGCTGGACGTCCCAGGGATATTCTAGACGGCAACACCAGACCCGCATAAGTTCTGTGGGAATGAAAGCCTTTCCCCGCGGAAGGGTTTCTCACCTAGGAGATAGCGGGCATTCTCTCAGGCAGAGGCATAGTGACGGCTCCCCCCATGGCTCCTTTTAAGCCAGGAGGCAAACTGTGCACGAGACTGAGTCTCCAAAGTATATGTTCTAACCAAACGCCTTTTTGGGTTTGGTGTTGCTTGAGAAAATTCTGTCCTGAGAGTTCACGACCCTGTGTCCCCAACAGGAGAAAGTATGCGTGAGACGCGAAGGCCGGCAGGAGAAGTCGCACACGCACCTTTTGCTAGGGAAGGATGCGGGGAGTAGGCGGGCGGTCCGGGGGGTCCTGGGTCCCCCGCTTCTCCCTAAAGAGAAAAAGGCAAGGAGTGAGAATCGGCTTTGGGCGTTTCTTGACAATATGCGTCTTTCCAAATAAGCCTGAGCGTGGACCCTCTGTGCAGCAGAGTCACTAGTTTGGCCAGCCGAGCCATGGACCGGGCTTGGGACAGCATCACTGAGCGGGGGTGGTGGGTCGGCCTGGGCATCTTCCCCACCAGCCAGGTGCACCAAGGGGGAACAAGACAGGCAGGTGCCAGTCTCACTGGCAAGTCCTCATCAAATGCCAGGAGACTATGTTTTCTGCAGTCAGACTTTCACCTTTTTTTCTTTTTTCAAGTCGAAACTGCCTCAGTTGCCCAGGCTGGAGTGCAGTGCATGATCACGGCTCACCGTGCCCTTGACCTCCTGAGCTCAGGTGATCCTTCTGCTTTCCTCCCTAGTAGCTGGGATCATAGGTGCACACCACCACGTCCAGTTAATTTATTTTTATTTTTTGTAGAGACGAGGTCTCACTATGCTGCCTAGGCTGGTCTTAAACTCCTGGCTTAAGCACTCTTCCTGCCTTGGCCTTCCAAAGTGCTGGGATTATAGACATGAGCCACCACGCCCAGGCATCTTTTGCATTTTTGATAAAGATATCTGAGCAGTAATGGTGCAACCACCCCCTGATGGAATGTCAGTAATACATGACCTTCCATGAGTTGCCTCAACATCGCTGAGTCTCATAAGACTCTCAAGTCCTCACCAGATGTATCTCCGTCCAGGGGGGAAAGGCTCCCTCCCCAGCAAGTTCCCCTAACAGCAGGGCCAGTTGTGTCTCCCGGTCCTCAGCTGATGGTCTCACCTCCCTGCCAGCCCATGGAGTTATTCAAAAAAGTCTTATCCTCACTCGGGAACCAGGGACACCTCACCCTTTTGCTACTACAAAGCTTGCCCTCCATTGTCCTGAGGACCCCTGAATGTAGACCCAAGGGTACCCCTGCAGTAACCAGGCTAATGAGCTGCAGTCTCCCCCATCTGTCCAGTGGCAGGGCCATGTGTTTAGAAATCTTGCACTATTAGGGCGAGGGATGCCTCCTCCAATGGGGTGAGCGGGGTACTATTGGAGCACAGAAGTGAAAGCCACCCCGCAGGGTGAGTGAGACACCATGAGAAGGAAAGAGATGGAAAAAAAGGGCTCACCTTGGGTCCTCTGGGCCCATCAGAGCCTTGATAACCGTCCAGGCCTCTGCTTCCCTGCAAAAGATGTTTAGCTTTACGTTTCATCCCTAACACACAGTGTCAAAAATGTGACCATCCTACCATGATGAAATCGAATACAGTTAACAATCATTCATTTAAATCCCTTGTTAACTCGATCTGTGCCCCTGATTTTGGTCTCAAACATGTCTTGTAAGATTGCTTTGCTTGACTGGGAGACAAAGTCCAAATATGACATTTCGCTGCCATGCTTCTTAATTCTCTTTTAGTTCATGATCGTTTCTTCTTCCTATTTTTTTTTAAGTATCACTTTGTTGCTGTCGAGAAGACTGGGTCGTCTGAGCCGCAAATGTCCTACGTAGTGGACGTGGTCAACTGCATCTTTGCGACTGGAGAATATGCTCCTTCAGTCCTACGTTGACCCCAAAGTGCTCATTAGCCAGGGCCCTTGTTGGGTTCACCTCTGTCTTTTTGGCGGGCCCTGGCCACAAAGGACACGGCACACCTCCTCTCTGCTGTGTGTCCCGCCAGGAGGCACCAAGGCTGGGTGCCTCACTTTGGTGATCTTATGACTGATCCGTGGGGTCGGTGGTTGACAACCTGATCCATGGATCAAAACTTTCCCCCAAGTCTAGTTTTCAAAAATTTCACTTAACATCACATAGAAGCAGGACAGCCTCTTACGCTAGAATTTTTTTCTCTGTATAAAAAAGGGAAAAAAACCAAACTCGGACACTAAGTTTTGTTTTCTAATTCCTAATTTCTATCAAGCTAGATATCAACCTTGGTTCCCTCTTGTGAGAGACCATGCGGTTCAGCCCCCAAAATCCAGGGTGATGGATGCTGAGGGCCGAAGCAAGGTACCCTCTCTGATGGTTTCAGAAGCAATGCGGGGACCCAGGCGCAGTCGCGTGGCTTGGAATGCTCCGAGGTGGGCTTCATTGTGTGCTTTTGTTGACCTACTTGTTTCTAAATTTCATTTTACTCTGGACTCGGGGAACCCGCCCAGGGTTGGCGCACGGGCATACTACGGGGGGAGGAAGTGTGGCTCCCATCGAACCCGCCACCCAAATAGTGAGCCTGGGACTCAGCAGGCTGGTGTTCGCCCTCACCTCCTCCCTCCCTGTCCCCTTTGGGAGTCCTCAGTGTCTGTCGTTCCCACCTTTACGTCTGTGAGTGCTCAGGGTGTTGCTCGCACTTATAAGCGAGAACATGTGAATGATGCATTTCTTCACCTACAATAACGGCCTCCACCCAGCCATAGCCGTGTTGCTGCAAAGGATGTGATTTTGTTTCTTTTTTTTCACAGAGTCGCCCTCTGTCACCCGGGCTGGAGTGCAGTGGCATGATCTCGGCTCACTGCAGCCTCGCCCACCTGGGTTCAAGCGATCCTCCTGCCTCAGGCTTCAGAGTAGCTGAGACTACAGGAGTGTGACCACCACCAAGATGTAGGATGAATGTTCCTATGAGCAAAGGGGGGCTTGCACCAACCTTGCACCCATGTGCATTCCTCAAGAGACCAGGGTCAGTGAACACCTTCAAACATAACCCCGGGTTGTGGGAAGTGTTTGCTCAGTGACTAAACATTTGTTTCCCCCAGAAAGAGGAGGGGAGACGGTCTCTTGCTCATCAGGAAATTTAATACACTCAACTCCATAGAACACCTGTCTCCACTCCCTTCTGGAAAGGTTAGAACCCGGAGAACCTATGGAAGCTCTGTTCACCTCTGCAGAAATGAGGCGTGACTGGTTCTGCATTCACATCGAGGGAGACAGAAGGCTTTCCCAGAGAATATTTTCATTTTGGTTCCTCCCGTGATGACACATTGTTTGTGCTGCTGTTCCCAGGGGCTCAAGAGAGCTGCTTCTGGTTTCTGGCTCCATTTTGTATCATAAAACCAAAGCCAGTGAGCTCAGCTGAAAGCTAGTTGTGGGGGGTGATGGCAGCCTGACCGACAGGATGACACAGGGTGACCTGTCTGTGTGCAGCTTGGAATTAACGAGCAGGACAGCCGCATCTGACCTGCCTATTTCCCACTTGTATGGTCGAGTAAACTGTCTCCCCTTGACATCTTTAACCAGAAATACGTGTGCCGTCTCAATTGCTGCGTCAGCGCAAGGCTAGCTGGAAGGAGCAAGCCCACAGTGCTGTGACCCTCACACCGGCCACGGCAGCTGGAGCCCCAGGTGGTCAGCACTCGTGAACATCTGTCATCATTTCCCCCCCCCCAGGTGAGAAAGCAGGAGATTATTAAGACAAAAAAGCTCCCAAGAGGGAGGGAACCTGAAAGAGGGCTGCTCCCATTGTCTTTTAAGAGCCCCCGGGGTCTGGGGCAGCTGTGTGGAATTGCACGTTAAAACATGGAATAACAGGCGACAGCAATGGTTTCTCCCACACCCCAGTTATGGGGGTGGGTGGGGACAGACTCCTGTGAGCACCGGGCTTTGTGTCAGTCCTCTGTCCCCTTTCAGCATCGGCTTGACGTGATCCTTCATCAAGATGTGGCCTGTTGGCCTTTAGAGGCGGGGCTTAGATGGTCGTGGTTCTGGGTACGCCGCCTTCTGGGACACCTCGATCCCTAATGAATGGTGCAAAGGTGGGTGTGACTGGGGCGGAGCTTGGTACCAGACCGCTCACTGGGTTTGGATAAAAGGACAGGAAGGGCAAGAATTGTATCAAGGCATTGAGGTTGGCATTGATGCTGAAGGGTCAAAGCCAGAACGTGGTCAAGCCGGACTGTGCCCAGAGCCAGTGGAGGTAGCAGAAGGAGGGAGAACAGCCGGGAGGCAGATCTTCTGTGTCATGGGACACATGTGGTGCAGCCCCCAGGGGTCTCCTGAGTGCCCACACCCGCTGACTGCCGCCATGGGGGTGCTCCATGTCACGTGTCACCCGCCCTGGAGCATCCAACTTACCTTCTGTCCAGGTGAGCCTTTTTCACCATCGAAGCCGGGGGGCCCCTGGGGTGAACAGAAAACGGAAGCAATTACTGCTCAGAAAACCCCGTGAGACTTTCCAGAGGGCTTGTCAGGGTCCCCGATGGTGATTAAGGCAAAGCGCTTTGGGCAGATGGGTCTCAGGGCCCACATTTGAGGAATAGGAACGAGCCACAAAACTTAATACCAAAACCCGGACTCCCCCTTTGTGTAAGCTGAGAGGGGCGGGTGGGAATATATGACTGTGACAAAAAGTCTTAAAGGAAGCAAAATGCATCCCAACAGCAAAGGCACCTTTACTACAGAAGGCATCAAACCACCTGAAGACTTTTATTTTCTTAAGGTGATACATCATGTTAGTAATACTTCCATGACATGCATCATTTCTACCACTCTATTATTTATTTATCTTGAGTTGGAGTCTCACTCTGTCAACCAGGCTGGAATGCAATGGCACACTCATGGCTACCACAGCCTCGGCTTCCTGGGTTCAGGTAATCCTACCTCAGCCTTCCCAGTAGCTGGAAATACAGGCATGTGCCACCACACTTGGCTAATTTTTTGATTAATTGTAGTGTTGAGGTCTTGCCAAGTTGCCCAGGCTGGTCTTGAACCCCTGGGTTCAGGCAGTCTTCTTGCCTTGGCCTCCCAAAATGTTGGGATGACAGATGTGAGCCACTGCGCCTAGCCTATTTTCACCACTCTATAGAAATTCGGAGAAGATCACAAGGACGGTACAGTGAAAATGGCAAAAATACAAAGGCTGGTACTCCCATTATTTTTTTTTTGAGTTGGAGTCTCACTCTGTTGCCCAGACTGGAGTGCAGTGGCACGCTCCCGGCCACCGCAGCCTTGACCTGCTGGGCTCCGGCGATCCTTCCACCTCAGCCTTCCAAGTAGCCGGAACTACAGGCATGTGCTACCACGCCCGGCTGATTTTTTGATTTATTGTAGAGATGAGGTCTCGCCAAGTTGCCCAGACGGGTCTCGAACCCGCGGGCTCAGGCAATCCACTCACCTTGGCCTCCCAAAGCACTGGGATTACAAGCTGAGCCACCGAGCCCAACTCCAATGTTCTAATAAACCTCCCTATTCTTACTTTTGGAGATCATAAAATATGCCATTTTTTTTGAGTTGGAGTCTCACTCTGTCACCCAGGCTAGAGAGCAATGGCACACTCACGGCCACCCCAGCACCAACCTGCTGGGCTCCAGCGATCCTTCTGCCTCAGCCTTCCAAGTAGCTGAAGTTACAGGCACGTGCTACCACGGCTGGCTAATTTTTTATTTATTTGTTTGTTTATTGTAGAGATGAGGTCTCGCCAAGTTGCCCGGGCTGTTCTCAAACCCGCGGGCTCAGGCAATCCACTCGCCTTGGCCTCCCAAAGTGCTGGGATTATAGGCTGAGCCACCGAGCCTGGTCTGTTTTTTTAAGTAGTAGCGATGGCCAGATAGCCACCAATACCCTCTCTCTCTTCTTTCTGGGTTCTGCTTCCCTCTCCTGACCACGGAGGGAAAGTGGACATGCAGGCAAGGCCAGGCCGTGGCCTGAAGGGCAGGGGCCTGCCTCTCGTGGCCGAATCCCTGTAGAAGGAGGCAGACCCTTCTTCCTGCCCCCACTAGGGAACATTTATGTTGAACCCTTGGGGCAATGGCAAATCCACGTGTGTTGGCGACACTCTGCATTTTTGTTACCACAGACAGGCCTAACCTAGCACACCTGGCAGAAAGGCCTTCTGCACATTGGGGGTGCAGCGTCTCGACACCTCAGGTTCTGGGTGACAGGGTTGGGTCAAGGTGGGTTCACGGAGCACAGCGCATCAGCCCTGGGGGCAGGGTGTCCACGGGGGAGGCTGTGTGTGTGTGCGTGTGTGTGCATGGTGTGTGTCTGTGTGGGGGGCTAGGGATGATGGGAAGCCCCCACCCCTTCTGCTCAGTTCTGCCGTGAACCTGAAACCGCTCTAAGACAGAACGTCCGAACACCCGGACAACCCCGCCCTGCCGTTCCGACACCCGTACTCACCCTGGCTCCCGGAAAGCCCATGATACCCTCTTCGCCTTTCAAGGGGAAGCCCTAGGAGAGAGGCCAGGCAGCGTGAGGTGGGGGAGGAGCCGCCCGGGAGCCCCTCCGGCCAGCAGGGCCGTGTGTCACTCTCTGCGCCCAGGACTCGGTGTCCTCAGCCCTGACCCTGTCCACACAGGCACGCGGACAGCTCACAAGCTCGCCCGTGCTGGCTTTCCTCCCAGGTATCACACCTCGCCGTCACCTGGCGCGTGCTGGCGAGGGACGACTGGGTGCAGGCGGGCAGGTGGGACCAAGATGACAGAGACCCCAACCCAGGACTCCCCCCGCCCCATCTTCTTCCTCTGCCTTTTCTGAACTTAGAAAACGTGGACCAGCCAGGGTGAGTGAGGCAGGCAGAAGTTCGAAAGATGGTTTCTGAAAATGAAGTGCAACGACCTGGCGGACGCCCTCTGGCTGGAAGGTCTCCACGGGCAGGGCGCGTGCCACCCTGCCGGGAGGAGCGGCAAGACCCGGGGCGACAGGGGGGTGGGAGCGCACTCGTGACTCGACTTACCTTGATTCCTGGCTCCCCCTCGCTTCCTTTTTCACCCTGTCGAGGATAGAAAAGACAAACACGCACGTTAATTTGAGAACGGAAACACGTGAAGATCCGTCAGGGTTTGTAGGGGATGAAAAGTCCTTCGACTTTCAACGTCCTTAGAGAGTCACGGCAACGAATGGCTCCCATTCCGCAGCTTCAAAATTCTGAGGGGAAAAAGGGTTAGGTTCTCTAGACATTCGCAAGGTAAATGAAGTCATGTATTATTGGTATTATTATTATTTTTTGAGTTGGAGTCTCGCTCTGTCGCCCAGACTGGAGCGCAGCGGCCGCTCCCGGCCACGGCAGCCTCGACCTGCGGGGCTCCGGCGATCCTTCCGCCTCCGCCTTCCAAGGAGCTGGAACTACAGGCGTGCGCTACCATGCCCGGCTGATTTTTTGATTGATTGTAGAGATGAGGTCTCGCCAAGTTGCCCAGGCGGGTCTCGAACCCGCGGGCTCAGGCAATCCACTCACCCCAGCGCGGGATTACAGGCTGAGTCACCGAGCCCAGCCATGTATTATTATTTTAATTACTTCTTTCCCCTCATTTCAGGGGCTTTGGGGTAGCAATGGTTTTTGGTTACAGGGCTGCGGTGTACAGTGGTGAGGAAATCTGGGCTTTAAGGGCATCCACCCCCCGGCCCCCGTGCACATTGTGCTATTTTTGGTGTGACCAAAATGTCTGTCTTTTTTTCCACCTGCAGTTTCCAAGATCACCCCACACAGGTATCTATGAACATCCTTACAGTGGGGGCGATAGGCCCAGGGAAAAAAACCCCGTGACAGTACTCATTTGAATCAAATGTTAGGAAGTTCCTCTGAGGAAAAAATACATTTGGAACATGTTAAAACCCGAAGCAAAAATGACTTTAGAAGGCAGCGTTAGGGCAGGCACGGTGGCTCACGCCTGTAAGTGCAGCCTTTTGGGAGGCCAAGGATGGAGGATCGCTTGAACCCAGGAGTTCAAGACCAGCCTGGGCAACATGGTGAGGCTTCGTCTCTACAAGAAATAAAAAAGCAAATTAGTCTGGTGTGGTGGCACACACCTGTAGTCCCAGCTACTCGGGAGGCTGAGGTGGGAGGATTGTCCCCGTCTGGGAGGTGGAGGCTGCAGTGGCTGTGAACCGTGCCACCACACTCCAGCCTGGGTCACAGAGTGAGACCCCAATTCAAAAGGAAAAAAACAAAAGAAAGCAGTGCTAAAGTTGTATGAAGTATTTGCTTTTTCCCACTCTCTTTGTCTCAAACGGTGAAAAACTGCGCCCACCGAGGGTTCCTCCCAGGACAGTGCTCCACATCCCTGCAGCTTGCTACTGCCCCCTGCAGGCTGGCCAGGCTCCAGCCAGGCATGGCCATCCTCTCTTGGGTGGCTGACCAGGACGTCTGGCTCAGAAGCCTGGATGCTCAGCCTGTAATCCCAGCGCCTGGGGAGGCTGAGGTGAGTGGATTGCCTGAATCCGTGGGTTCGAGACCCGCCTGGGCAACCTGGCGAGACCTCATCTCTACACTAAATAAAAAAACTAGCCGGGCGTGGTAGCACGCGCCTGTAGTTCCAGCTACTTGGAAGGCTGAGGCGGAAGGATCGCTGGAGCCCAGCAGGTCGAGGCTGCGGTGGCCGGGCGCGGCCACTGCACTCCAGTTTGGGTGACAGAGTGAGACTCCACTCAAAAAAAAAAAAAAGAAGCCTGGATGTTCACCCCCCATCACCCTCCGTCCTCAGACTGGACAGAGGCTCTGTCTGCCACTCCCAGGCCCCTCTGTCCACACTCATGGCTCAGGCCACGCCGCCCGGGCGGGCTCCTTCCCTAAGCGGCGGTCCTGTGGGCCAGATCCCACCCAGGACCCAGGATCCAGGAGCCACACCTAGCCACGGCAGACCCTTGAGGGCTGGGGTCCCAGTTTCTCTGGAAAGACACAATTTCTGCGTTGGGGCTTCTTTTAGCTCCTGCGCCTTGCGTGTGCCTGGCGTGACATGGAGCCTTTCACCACGCATGGGCACCTGTCACCTGCTCGACAGCCCTAGGAGGTCAGTATCCCCATCCTCATAGGACAGAGGGGAGCCCGAGGGCTCAGGAAGACTAAGTGCCTCCCTGAGCAAGTGGGCGGTACAGCAGTGCTCAGACCCAGGTCGTTCAGACGCAGAGTGCGCCCTGTCTCCCATCCACCTAGCTTTCTGGTTATCTCTCATCTATCTCTCATCTATCTGTTCGATCTATCTATATCTCATCTGGCATCTGTCTGTCCATCCTGTCTATCGATCTCTCTCTCTCTCTCTCTCTCATCTATCTCTCATCTATCTATCATCTAGCTCTTTATCTGTCATCCATCCATCCATCCAGTCAGTGTGTCACTCTGTCGCTTCGACCCCCTGGGCTCAGGCAATCCTCCCGCCTCAGCCTCGCGAGTAGCAAGGAATACAGCCATGCGCCACCATGACTGGCTAATTTTTAATTTTTTTTTTTGAGTTGGAGTCTCACTCTGTCGCCCAGACTGGAGCGCAGTGGCCGCTCCCGGCCACCGCAGCCTCGACCCGCTGGGGCTCCGGCGATCCTTCCGCCTCAGCCTTCCAATTAAATTTCTTTTTAGAGATGAGGTCTTGCTATGTTGCCCAGGCTGGTCTTAAACTCCAGGGCTGAAACAATCCTCCCTCCTTAGCCTCCCAAAGAGCTGGGATTGCAAGCATGAGCCCCCAGGCCTGGCCCTAATTATGCTTTCATGCAGAATTTGCCAATTTGGTGGTGAGTCCTTTTCATTTGGAATGTGAGTGTTTAAATAAAATGGAAGTAAGCTACCTATTTTTCTTGTCCTTGTTTTAATTCCATTGGCAAGACAGTCGATTTTGTGGCAGCCTCTTTACCTTATAGTGATCCAGGTGGATGGTGGTCTTCGTGGGCCCGATGATGGGATGGATAGTGTCCGATGGAATCCCATTGGGTCCTGGCTGGCCCATGTCCCCCTGTGGATGGTTGAGCAGAAGCAGCCGTCTTTAAATGGGAAGGAAACTGTACAATGCAAATAACAGCAAAGCCCCACCACGATACTGTTTTTATGTCTGCATATTACTTGCCACATGTATACTTGCAGTATAACAATCACAAAGTAAAATAATCCTAACAGAATTAAATAATCCCAATGCAAATGTGTTGTAGCCTACGTTCGGTAGGAATGATTTAGAATTTATGCATAAAGGCCACGTAGCTTACACACAGTTTGGGGCTGCATTTGCTTCTGTGGGGGTTGTCTCCTGGTGATGGATTTCTACATATGGAAACCATTAGGTATAAATGTTTTTTACAGATCTTGGCATATATGACTCTTACTTTTCAGGATTGGCATCAAGTTATGAGAAATGCCAAGCAAGCAAATGAACAACTACTTCACTAGCTAAAGGTGTTTTTATATAAGAATAAATATATCTCAAGATTGCTTTGACTTGAATTTTTATCATTAGCGGAAAACACCTTCCCCTGCGGGGCAGGTGAAATCTATCTATCTGCAACATCATTGGACAGCTAAACTTGTGCAATATTCTGGCTTTATCTCCCAGAAAATAATGGACACAAAAAGAACAATAATGTCTTCTCTTTTGCTATTTTTCCCATGTAAACTACATAATAAGTGTTTGAACTCAGATGTCACACTAATATGAGTGGCAGCGAATTGAGACATATCAGTTGCAGAAAGTGGCACGCCACGTGGATTGAGTGTCCCCTGATATAATGGCTTAAAAATGCCTAAAACACGTTGTCATCCTCCCACGTACCTATTGGGACCTTGATGTTTTTATAAATCATTTGAATAAGCTCTTCATGGATTATAGACATTTATTTCACTCCATTCTGCTGCATATGACTGTTCTCTCCCACCACTAATTTCTTTCCAGATTTTTCTTCTTTACACATTTTATTTATGTATTTATTTTTTGAGTCAGAGTCTCACTCTGTCACCCAGGCTGGAGTGCAGTGGCACGCCCACGGTCACTGCAGCCCCGACTTCCTGGGCTCAGGTGATCCCTCTGCCTCAGCCTTCCAAGTAGCTGAAACTACAGGTGTGCGCCCCTACGCCTGGCTAATTTTTAAATTTTTTTTTGTAAAGACGAGGTCTTGCCAAGTGGCCCAGGCTGGTCTCAAACCCCTGGGCTCAGGCAATCCTTTCACCTCTGCCTCCCAAAGTGCTGGGATTACAAGCATGAGCCATCATGCTTGGTCTCTTTTTAAAAATTTTATTGTATTGTTTGGTTGTATTTCACTGCATGAGGCTTTCAATGCCTATGTGCTTGATCGTCAATGTTTTCCTTATTGATTTTTTTCTACGCTATTACTGCAAAAGAACACAGTCTTTCCTCTTCACACCTGGGCAGGACTTGATTCCACGTAATATGCTATTCAATTGAAAAGCGGAACGGAAAAGAGCAGAAAAATGCTCAGAAAGTGCTCAGATTCCCTCTACAGCGGGTTGCGGGTCTCATGGTGACCACAACGAGAATCCATGTGGGAAGGTTTTGCTTGAGGTGTGCAGGCACCACATTGAGCTTGGCTAACACGTGAGCTCATGGGCTCCTCTCAAAGGCCACGAGGTCTCTGAGTCCTAGCCCCGTAAGGAAAGGTAAGAGCCTCATGTCCCTCATGCCTGCCTTTGAGCCCGGCTGGCGTGGGTCCCCAAGACAGCTCCAGGTCAGTCTTACGCTCTAGTCTCTGTCCTCTCAGTCACCTCTGGGTTCCACGTGGTGGAAGACCCCCTTGGGGACATGCCTGAGCGTCTGCCTGCTGGAACTGGCTGAGGTTATGACTCTGTGTCAGAGGTCTCAGCCCACTTAGAGAGTTCCTGTTTACTGTCTTATGGATCCATCATTATCACTGGGGCATGTGTGACAGTCTGGCACTTCACAGTGAGTATTTGTCTGTGCAAATGGTCTGTCTGTAGATTGTGTCAAGGTACTAGCATAAGCCTCAGTAATTGCATCAATTTGCTTCCTGATCACCAGACACTGCCTGACTTTGCTGGAATCTGCTAAATTTCCTTTACCTTTTCACCCTTTTCTCCATAAAAACCAAGTCCTCTGTTGCCCTGAAAAGATAAATAATTTTTGTAAGTTTCAAAAAGTTAATAATCACGTGAAATACAATCACTATTTTAGAAAAAGAAACCCAAGACCGATCTATCTGCATCATTACTGAACAACTGCCCTTGCACAATATTCTGGCTTTTCCTCCCAGAAACGAATTGACACTCGGTCCCGTCCCTTGAGCAAGGCCTCGGAGCCCCTGCGTTGGGGAGCTCAGATCTGACCCCCGGTGGTTCTGACTCTTAATCATTGCTGGACTGTCTCTGTGGGTCATAGCCCAAGAGCCTTTCCCTGGGTTCTGGCCCCTCCAGACTCGGAAACAGCCCGTTTTCATCGCTCAGATTCCACATTTGAAGATCACGGTCCGTTCCCTTCTTTTGCAAAATTCAGTCTTTTCTCATTTTGGTAAAATGATCCTAATTTCATATAAACATTTTCTATCATTTTATTGGTAGGGGATTTTGAATCCCTTGGAATTTAACGATTTTAGTTGATTCTTGGGGTTTCATCCCACGCCTTCCTCCTTTTGCTTAAGAGGCAAAGTCAGGCCCGGTGTCTTCGCAAGTATTTAATAGTTTCACTCATGGAAGGATCGACGTGACCTTGGTGAACGTCGCAAAAGCTAGCTCGCAAACTCATGCACATCACAGACACAGGCCTCTTTCTCCTAACTTCCAAGCAGCTCTGCGTCTTTCCCAGGGTTTCCACACTCCCGCCGTGACAGCGGATCAAGCTGATCTTTCTCTCTGCGGCATACTGTCCGCCCTCCTCCCACGTCCAGACTTTGTGAAAATAAAAGCAAAGCCTTTCATTAATTTTTGCCTTCCGCTTCTTTCCCACCTGGCTGGGAGCTGAAATCAAAGCACAGAAATGCAGCCAGGCTAGGTCAGAATGCAACTGAGCGAGTCCCCGCCATGGTGCCCCTCTGGCCCCCAAGCTGGCTGGCAAAGCCATCAGGAAGTGGCCTGCTCAGGGGTGAGGAGGGCTGTTTGTGTTTGCTGCAGCACGTGGAGATCTGAGGCTCACGTCTGAGCTGGGGGCTCAGTGGCTGCTTCCTTGGCCCGGCTATCCTGTCCGACTTCCACTGCTCCTGGCTCTGGGCCCTCCTTTTCCACTCCAGGCCACCAGGCGGTGGGGCGTCCTGCAGCCTTAGGAAGCCCCGGAGTGGCCGGAAGCCGCCTTGGAGGGGATGGGAGCTTGGGACACGGGGGCGGGTGGCAGCTGTGGTCACCAGGAATCGCAGCAATGGGGCTTCGTGTGGGGTGGATGGGAACGGGTGGGTTTGGCTGGACACAGGACAGAAGAAGGTTTCTAGAGGTTTCCCACTGGAAGCCCACGTTGAGCTTTGATCCAACACGCCCCTCGTCAGTCCCACTCATTTGTCGTGGACATTCATTCAGCGTTCTCAGGTCATAAAGGACCCGAGTTCTAAAACACCTACTTTGTGGTTATTCCAACCACCTTAAGCATCTTTCTCTGATAAGCACAGCAGGGCTCTGTGCTCCCACCTGGCTTAAGTCTCACCGACTGTATCCCGAGAGGCTGACATTCGGCCCCCTGGACCCTAATTGCATCCAGGTGAGGAGGATGACACCACTTCCCTCTGCCAAATCCAGCTACACATCGTCTGTTCTCGTGAATTCACACGTATGGATCAATGCGTGCTCTCCCTCGATCGTTCTGGTAAACGTTTTCTTTTCTTTTTTTTTCTTTTTGTGTTGGAGTCTCACTCCGTCGCCCAGACTGGAGTGCAGTGGCCGCTCCCGGCCACCGCAGCCTCGACCTGCCGGGCTCCGGCGATCCTTCCGCCTCAGCCTTCCGAGAAGCCGGAACTACCACGCCCGGCTCATTTTTGATTTATTGTAGAGATGTGGTCTCGCCAAGTTGCCCAGGTGGGTCACGAACCCACAGGCTCAGGCAATCCGCTCACCTCAGCCTCCCAAAGCACAGGATTACAGGCTGAGCCACCGAGCCCGGCTTGGTAAACGTTTTCAATCAAACATTCGTATGTTTGGTTTCGTGCCGCAGCAGGAATGTGGTAACTGATCCTCATCCAAGGTGGCAGGGGTTACAAGGCACTGCGTATCTATCCTCAGAGTTTCACATGAAGTCTTAAAAACCTACCAAATGGCTCTCATCACAATATAAACAATACATAGTTGCCAACCAAGTCATTTTAGGATAAAAGAAAACGCACGAATACTTAAGTTGCCCCCACCCCCGCCCTCATCGCTCAAAACCAACTTACTGGCTGTCCTTTTGGCCCAGGGGGTCCGGGTGGTCCCTGCACAAACACAAAGACATTCGTAAAGTGTTTTCTTTATCCCAGGCCCAGATAACATCTGCTTGAAAGCTCTGGGAAAGCCACTGGCTGGATATTTAGAACACTCGAGCATGCATGGAAGTTTCTGATGCATTTGGCTCTGCTGGGACCACAAGCTGGGCCAGGCCTGGGTTCAGCTCCGGTTCTCAGAGTCTGCCCGTTGTCTATGGACAGCTGTTTCTGCTTTGTTTTTGTGTGTTTGGGCTTTTGACTTCACCCGTGTCCTCTCCATGTTTGTTCTGGTCCCTTTGCGAGGTCCTAGGCCCTGCGACTGCGGATATAGCTTCTCCCACTTCCTCTGGGAGTCCCTAGGAGACGCCGTCCAGCACTCCTTGCGGGTGGCCCAGCGAATGCTCACGAATGGAATGCACCACCAGGCCAACACCGCAGAGTGGGAAGTCTACCTGCAGATACCCAGTGCACCTTTCTGCAAGGCGTCCAGCGTCAACACCAGACTTAGGACAAAGGCATCGAAAATGCATTTGAAGAAGTATTTTGCAAAGGGGTGGTTGGGAGGGGGGCTGTGAAAGATGCTGTGTGGCTCATGTGAAAAGCCCACGGCTGTCAGCTCAGCTAAGGCCCCCGTGGGTACAATGTGTCGCGTCTGACTTCCCTGACCTGAGTATTTAGGGTATAAAACCCCAGCCACGGGGCCTGTGTGCGGGACTGAGTCAACAACCCTGAGCCGTGAGAAAGCAAGAACAGGGCATCCTTGTTTCAATCTATTGGGCCAGACCTTTCTTTCATAGCAGAAAGCATCTTGCAAAAATGACTTTCAGGCACCAGGGAAATTTGCTTTGTAAAAATTAAATCTACATTTTTTTTTTTTTGAGTTGGAGTCTCACTCTGTCGCCCAGACTGGAGTGTAGTGGCCGCTCCCGGCCACCACAGCCTCGACCTGCCGGGCTCCGGCGATCCTTCCGCCTCAGCCTTCCGAGGAGCCGGAATTACAGGCATGTGCTACCACGCCTGGCTGATTTTTTGATTTACTGTAGAGATGAGGTCTCGCTGCCCAGGTGGGTCTCGAACCCGTGGGCTCAGGCCATCCACTCACCTCAGCCTCCCAAAGGCGCGGGATTACAGGCTGAGGCACTGAGCCTGGCTGAAATCTACTATTATGGTTGGTGATTATCATGTCAAGATAATTCTGAGTGCCCCCCTTCCCAACTGTTAGTATGACGGAATCTCCCTAAACATACATGTGTTCATTTTTTTCTTAATATCTGTTGAGAAACAAACCTCAGAGCATCTCTGGGTAGTGTGTCTCAGTCCTGAGCAGGGTTTTCTGTGAGAAGGTCCTGCGCACCTGCAGCCTAAGTCTCTCCTTGTACAACACAAGGCCTACTTGTCTTACTACTGAGACGTGGGGAAGGGGAGTCAGAAGCCCTCTGGTGGTGGCCAGTCCATCTCTAGGTGACTGTGCAGAGGTGGCTGTGGACAGAGGGCTGCATCAGCTCTGTACCTTCCCTACTCTTCCCTCCGAGTGATCAGTCATCCTGCACTCAGCATTTGTCTGGTCACACCTCACTCTGCCGCCGATTTGCAGGAGGAAGGACTACCCATAGGCCTCCATTCAGGGGTCACTGGGGCCATTATGTTAAATGATGGCCAGTATCTCAGCTGCTATAATGGCCTTGGCCCAGGTGTGATCTATTGGTTATAATGACCATGGCTCAGGTGTGATCCATCCACTACAGTGGGCATGACTCAGGCATGACGTCCTCCCTCCCCACTACAATGGCCGTGGCCCAGGTATGACCCACCTGCTTAATGGTCATAGTCCAGGAGTGATCCATCCACTATAAGGAGCATGGCCCAGGCATGATTCTCCTGCTACAATGGCCATGGCCCAGGTGTGATTTGCCTGCTATAACGATCATGGCCCAGGTGTGTCCCATCTGCCTTAATAGTAATGGCCCAGGTGTGATACATCCACTGTAACGGGCATGGCCCAGGCGTGATTCTCCTGCTACAATGGCCATGGCCCAGGTGTGAATTACCTGCTATAATGATCATGGCCCAGGTGTGACCCACCCACCTTAATGGCCATGACCCAGGTGTGCTCCATCCACTATAACGAGCACGGCCCAGGTATGAGTCTCCCACTGCAATGGCCATGGCCATGGCCCAGGTGTGCCCTGCCTGCTAAAACGATCATGGCCCAGGTATATCCACCTGCCTTAATGGCCATGGCCCAAGTGTGACCCATCCATACTGGGCATGGTCCAGGTGTGATCCATCCACTGTAATGTCCATGGCCCAGGTGTGATCCACCTGCTATAATGAGCATGGTCCAGGCAGAGTCTGTTTCCTCCTCATGGACCTGTGGGAATTTGGTCTACTCTGCCCAGGGATGAGGGCCCTTTGTCACCTGTGGGAGCTCACGCATGACTTAAGGGCACCCTGCCAGCACCTGGTCAGAATCTGTCGTGGCTGGCAGTGAGCCTGTTCTGAGTCCTCATTCCTCAAGGTAGGTTTTGTTTTCTTTAAAAAAGTTCTGAAAAACAATCCTGAAGCAAATAGCTCCTTCTCCGGTATTCCAGGGATTTCCCTATCCGTTGTGCAATGCAGAGTATGGCTTGTTTTCTGTCTTGGTGTTTCCCACCATGTCTGTAGGCAACAGAGTTTCCTGGAAACTTTTATGCTTTAGAAGTATTTCAGGGTATTCTTAAGTACTAAAGTATACTTAAAATACTATACTTTTAAAGTATTCAATGGTTGGCAAGGTGGCATCTGTGAGGCACGGCGTGACCATAGTCCAGGGTGAGCACAGGCACCCGGCTACTTACGGGTCTTCCTGGGGCTCCAACTGGACCCATCTGTCCCACAGGCCCAGGGTGGCCGGGCGGCCCCTATGGACAGACAACAAGAGAATGTTTTTTTATGAGAGGTAGACTGGTATTTGGAGTCCTAACGTTCTGAAACTTTCGGTTGAAATATTTGCTAATAAAAATAAACCTACCTGGAAACCAACCAGTCCAGGCTCCCCAGGTTCACCCTAATGGAGAAGACATAATTTTGAGAATTGTAGCTTTCAAACATTTTTTAGATCCAGTTCCATGTCACTGCAGGGTTGAAAATAAGCCAACAGAACATACCAGCTCTGTCGGGACATGGGTGTGCTAATTGCCTAATATTTGACTCTGAGTGCTGTGGCTAAGCGAAAGAAAGAGATATGCCCACAAACAAACATAAGACTGACAACAACTGGAATGGAAAGAAGAGGTCTTTAAACTCATGATGACGTTGTGTCACTCCAGCATTCTGTGCACTCCACTGCATTCGCTCTTACACGCAGGGTTCGCCTGGCAATTAACTTTGCTAATTGCTCTTTTGTGCTGAGTCCCTGACTGGTCCCCATCTCTAGCAAACGTACCCTGTATTTGTCGCGGTCTTCTCTAGACAGTGCGTAAGGCTCGCCTTTCTGTCCTTTGGGTCCTTGGGGTCCCTAATGAGCAGATACGTGGTAAAAAGACAAAACACAAAACAGTCCATTAATATTCAGGGCACCTGTGGCCATTTGGTTCTTCTAGGCAATGTCTAATTGTACTCATGGCTTATGTAGGTTATTCTGAACACCAACCCCTATATTCAACCACAAGGGCGAGACCTTTAATTTCACACTGACCCAACAATACTTGTCCTAAGTTAAAATGGTAATGCTTTATGGGAGTTAATTTATTTTCAAAAACCCAAGTAATGCCTTTGTAAATGAATCCTCTAATAGACCAGTATGCTATTTTTCTTTGAAACAATATTACTATATGCTTGCTTTGGCATTAATGCACTAAAAAATATTCACACATGTGCTCTTAAGCACCATTTGCAGGAGAGGTACTGGATCATTCTTTATTTTTTTATTAAAAAATTTTTTTGAGCCGGGTTCTCACTTTATTGTACAGGCTGGAGTGCAGTGGCACCAGGTCACCATGGCCTTGACCTCCTGGGCTTAGGTGATCTTCCCATCTCAGCCTCCCGAGTAGTTGGGACTAAAGGCTTGCACACCACACCTGGTCAATTTTTGGATTCTTTTTTTTTTTTTTTTTTGAGTTGAAGTCTCACTTGGTTGCCCAGACTGGAGTGCAGTGGCTGCTCCTGGCCACTGCAGCCTCGCCTGCTGGGCTCCGGTGATCCTTCCGCCTCAGTCTTCCAAGTAGCCGGAATAACAGGCATGCGCTACCACGCCCGGCTGATTTTTTGATTTATTGTAGAGATGAGGTCTCGCCAAGTTGAGGTCTCGCCAGGCGGGTGTCAAACCCGCGAGCTCAGGCAATCCACTCACCTCGGCCTCCCAAAGGCAAGGGATTACAGGCTGAGCCACCGAGCCCGGCCAATTTTTGGATTCTTTGTAGAGACAAAGTATTGCTATGTTGCCCAGGCTGGTCTCAAACTCCAGGCTCAAGCAATCCTCTTGCCTTGGCCTCCCAAAGTGCTGGGATTATAGGCATGAGCCACCGTGCCCAGCCTAGGTCATTCTTTAAAGTTGGAATTGTGTCAAAAATAAACAGTAGGTATAAACAATGTGTATGCGTAAATATTACAGGCATGGTGGTTCATGCCTGTAATCTTTGCACTTTGGGAGGCCAAGGCAGGCTAAATGCTTGAGCCCAGGAGTTCGAGACCATCTTGGGTAAAATACAGAAACCAGGTCTCTACATATAAACATCAGTATTTTACAGTAATGGCTATGTTTCTTGATAATGAAATTTATGATGGAATAGAGTAGAAAAGGATGTCGTTTACTGAAAAGTTGAACCACATAAAAAAGAAACAGCCAAGGAAAGAGGTATTCCAAGGTAGAAATGAAATCAATTAGCATGAGAAATTGATTTGTTTTGGGTGACAACATGGTGAAGAGTGGCAGTGACAGCTATTCCCCACCTTAAATTTTGCCTTTTTTTTTAAAGTTAAAAAAAATCTTGTCAAACAAAATTTTAGTATAACCCTTAATTTGCAAGATTTTCATGGCATGAAGGTAGCAATATGCTACTGAAAACATATTTCAGGATTCTTTGCAAAGACCTAAAATAATAAAAGAGGCCACAAAATAGATGATTATATTAAAGCTCTTCCATTAAAAAACAAACTCTGGTTGGGCATAGTGGTTCACACCTGTAATCTTAGTACTTTGGGAGGCCAGGAGTTTGAGACCATCTTGGGCAAAATAGAGAAACCAGGTCTCTACAAAATATCAAAAAATTAGTTGGGCGTGGTGGCACACGCCCGTAGCCCCAGCTACTTGGAAGGCTGAGGCGGAAGAATCAGAAAGTCGAGGCTGATTGTCATGATCATGCTTCTACACTCCAGCCTGGGTGACAGAGTGAAAATTTGACTCAAAAGAATAAAACAATATAAAATATAAAACTAACTCCTGCACCGTACATGCTGGAAAATGTGACTCCACTTTCATGTCACAAACAATTTTGTCATCTAATAAAAAAAGTGACTGACAGAGATTTTTGTCAAGGTTTCTGCTTTTCAATTGTCATTTTACTATCACTGCATTCCTCACTGCTGTGTGAATGAGAAAGGCAAGTGACCTTGGGAGACTGCAGGAGGGAACAATGCCGGCCAGGCCAGTTCTCTCCTGCCTCACGTTTAAAGGAAGAGGCCTGAGAATGGAGGCGCTTGGGGCTAGAAGAGTCGACAGACGCCAGGGGATGGATGCTTCCATCCTTCTGCCCCGAGAGGGAGGAACCCCCCAGGCCGTGAGGACAAGGCTTGGCAGGTGTCCACCTGCCCCACTGCTGAGCAAACAGGAGGTGACTCCTATTTTAGAGCCTAAGACAGTTTCTTACAAGGGTCCCATGCTCGAGACATGGCAGCAGTGGCCCATTCGTACTCTGAGCGCCCACCCCTCAGGGCTGCAGGCCCCTGAAGTGCACGAACGGTGGGATACTCACAGGAGGGCCGGAGAAGCCCCCAGAGCCGGGAGGCCCCTGTGGGCCTGCGTCTCCCCGGGTCCCGTTGCAGCCATCGTAGCCGGGCCTTCCCCGGGGCCCACCTTGCCCTGGATGTCCCTGGGAGAGAAACACTGAGAGTGAGCCTTCCAGCCCGCAGTTGCTTGTTTTCATATAACCGTGTGACAGAACGTTTTCTTTACAGTTCCAAGTATTAATATCCTTTATTATTCACTGTTCCATAGTTTAGTTAAACCCTATGGCGACAAAGTGAACAGAGTAGTGAGTGAATTAATTGTTCTGGAAAACAGAAGGTCAGTGCTTTACAGAACTTTTCTTTTTGCTTTGATTATTTTTGAAGGAAATGCTTCTCAAAGTGTACTACAGAATTCTGAATTCTGCACGACATGCTTTACGATCCATGACTGAAAGGCGTTAAGGATACTGTCTTGGTCTGTTCGGCTGTTAGGACAAAATATCATAGACTGGGTAGCTTGTAAACAGCAGAACTGTGTTCTCCAGTTCTGGAAGGTGGGAAGTCCAACAGTGAAACACCGGCAGAGCTGGTGTCTGGTGAGGGCTCTTGCAGCAACCTCACGCGGAAGGGAGGCCAGAACAGTTTTAAATATTTAACTATCCTTATAGGCAGCATTCCTCTCCGAGGAAGAGACAACTCAAAAACAAACGAATGAATGGATACAAGGTTAAATAAGCAAAGGCACACGGTATCATTCGAATCATGAAAAGGCTTTCAGGGCAGAGTTGTCTTTCACACGGGTTTGGGGAGGAAATGAACTGTCCTGGGTCTCCTTCTGCCTTCTGCATTGGGGGCGGGGGTGGTTGTCTCTCCGCAGGGATTCGTAAGGGTAGATTTGTTGTCGTTTCTAAATTCTAGAAAAGAATCCTGAAGTCAACAGCGCCTTTTCAGGCATAACAGGGATTTCCCTATCAGTTGTGCCCAGTTGGATTTTAGATGGTGAGTCTGACAGATGCACAGCCTATACAGAGAGGATATTCACACCTGCAGTGGGACTTCATCAGCCCCCTGGCCAGGCTTACAAGAGCTAATTTTCCTTTATTTACTTTCCTGGGGAACACTACTTTTTAGATTTTAAACACGAATATAAAGCATATCAGGCGTTCTGAGCCTTCTGGGAGCAGGAGAGGCAACGTGAGCAAATGTCTGCCGAGCAACTGGAAAGTCAAGCTAATCCGTGGACGTCCCATTCACTGCCTCCGTCGGGTCCCAGGAGACGTGAAGGGCCTGGGTTTGTACTCTGTGATTCATGCGTGACATGACCCCAGCGTGCTGTGTTATTTCTTTAAACAATAGATATTTAGACATAAGCTTTAGGATTGTGCAATTTGTTTTAGACTTTGGTTTTCTTGATAATAAGCCAACTGTATATACATTATAGATATAAACGATAACATTTTAAGAGATGTTATCTATGTATTACTTTTTGAAGTTGGGTTGAATGACTATAGCAACGTGCAGTATGATGTTCGCACAAGTGTGCTTCCGCCATCTTCTTGACTGTCCTGCCTGTCGCACGGTGATGCTAGCATTCATTGGACTAACGTCACCTTTTGAGCAAACTTCATGCTCAAAATAAGTATACATTTTTTGGCACCCCCTGTGTGTGGGTGTGTGTATATATATATATATATTAAGGAATATATATATATATACATATTATTGGCTTCGGAATTGAGGCTGCTTTGTTCAAACTGGACATCCTTCATAATAAAAAGCTAGAGTGCTCCTGTCAGTAGAGAGTCAATAGAGAATATATATCTATTCGAGTTATTTTTGACCATTAGGGCGTCCTTTATATGTACTTGGAGAAATTTGGAAACCTCCAAGATGAACAAGCTCTCAATGCAGTGCCCTGTAGCCTGAATGCTATTAAGAAACACAATCACAGAAACGTAGATGTGTTCTTTCCTTTGCATGTCTCTTCTATGGATGCACAAAGCTCTGGACTGGTCCTGTCCGACGAGAGATCTGACAGACTTTTCAGCCAGCCTCTCTGGGGAGTCAGAGACATCTCTGCAGAGAGCACCATTTCACCCTCTGGAAGCAGAGCTGGAGAAAAGACACGAGGGGTCTCGAAAAGCCGATCCTTCCAATCCAGCTTGAGAAGACAGCTCAAGGTCGTCAGGACTCCATGACGTTTTTGCTTATCGTGTCCCCACCGAGTTCTTTACTCTTCTCCTGCATTACCTACTTGCCCTGGGTCCCTCTTACCCGCTTAGAGCTGATCTGAGCCATTGGAAATGGCATGTCACCCTGATCTTAGTTGGGAATCGTCTCAAAGAAGAACTTCAATTAGATCGAGCTAAGTGTCTTTCTCTTACCGCCCCACACCTCATTCAACACATTTCTAGATGTGTCTAAGATCTCTCTGCACATACGTTTTGATAGATGACTTCTAGAGGGCTAAAATGAGGCGGGCCCCCAAACTCCACATTGGTGAACTGCTCGGTTATGTCAGGGGGTGTTGAAATCGATGTGATCTGTAGGATCAGAGTTCCGCCGCTAAGGAAACTGTCTACCCTTGAGCAGAGCCAAGATTCTGTAGAAGACGGTGGTGCCTGCACCCGACCACCATTCCCCCCATGGGCTGCTTCCTTCCTCCCTGATTTGAATATTTGCTTGTGCCATTAAATGAGGGTGAAGGGGAAAGACAAAAGAAAACATGGTATTTTTATTCCTGCAGTGTCACTCATTTTATCTCAGATCTCAGCTTCCCAAAGACAAAACCCATGAGCAATTGAAAGAGCCCAAAAAAGGACCTTAAAAATGGGCGATCTAGTTTCAGGCTTTCATCACTTCTTGAACCTTTGGGATGTGCAGATTCTTTCACTCTGCCCACTTCTTGAGATTCTGACCCATGAGAAAGTTATCTCCTGAAGTGTTCAGGGCAGCGTGGTGTCCCCGAGTGTCTGCGTCCACCACGGGACCACCACCGGCTAAGGAAGTCTCGTCTTGGAAAACGAGGCTTCCTTTCTCTTGCTCTCACTGCTTCCTTCTTGAAGTCTCCCCGACAGTGGAGCTACAGAGCTGGGAAGAGGCAGGAGTTCTCTGGGCCAACTCTCCACGGATCCCCTTTCTTTCTTGTCTGACTCAGCGGCCTGGGAAGGGGGTCTCTCTCCCTGCGCGTGTGCGTGGTCGGTGACTGGGAGACACACACGCGGGAGAAGGACACACACATCTGAGCACTGGTGGGAGGTTCGTGAAGCAGGCGACCCACGGCAGGGGCCAGATGGGAGGCGGGTCCCTGAGGTCAGGTCTGGCCAGGAAGCCAGTCCTGGGAAATCTTCGAGGGGTCCCTGTGAGGAAGGCTGTGACTCATGCTGTTTTGTTTGTTTTTCTTTAATGCCACAGCAGTAAAGTAAACTAGATGAGAAAAACACATTTTATTGCATTTGGGGATTTTCTCATGAACAAACCATGCCCTGCCTTTTTCTCGTTTTCTCTGTGATTGCCCTAAGGATTTAGATGCTGCTCAAAGGCATTGACGGGGCTTCCTCTGTCCCGCGCTTGGCAGACCACTTTCTGTGCGGGTCGTTGTGTAGTTCAGATGAAGTTTCTAGAATGGCTCTCTGCCGAGCCTTTAAGAACAGCAGAATCTGGCGTTTTACTCCAGAACAATGTCTGGTTTTAGCAAAGCAGCCTCGATTCCCAAGCCGAGTCTATAAGAATGTTTACAAAGGAAACAATTTGTTCAAGGCTGGACGGAGTTCCCGGGAAACATGCACATATGGGCCCACGCGTTGTAGGTTCTACACAAGAAGCGGGGGAGGGGCTCATTCAGAATGTTTCCATAAGTCGTAAATGTATTGCTCAGCACGCACGCAGGTTTTCCAATTCTACTCTTCCAAAAGGACTTACGGGAATTCCATCGGCACCAGGGAATCCAGAAACGCCTCTCGCTCCCTGCAAAGAAGGCAGACAGACTCAGCGAAGGTCGGAGCCCCCCACCCTCCCACCGCCGGGGCGCGTCGGCAGGGGTGCGTACCACGTCTCCTTTGGGTCCGGTTATTCCTGGAGCGCCTCGCTCACCCTTGTCACCTTTGCGGCCCTGCAGTCCCGGGAAGCCTTGCAGCCCCGGGGGGCCGTTGTAGCCCTGGGGGCCCACTGGTCCGGGCTGACCCTGTGGGAACAACACAGGTTCAGTTTCCGCAGTGAATAATGTGAAGTGCTCCCTTCCGAAACCACATTTTTCATTCTCAAAGAGCCAGAGTCTTCAGGGAGTATTACATGTAAACTATCACCTACTGCCACATAGGTTAGAGAGTAAGTTCTGGCGAAAGAAAGAAGTCAAAGAGTTTAAGAGGAAAAAAATATTAAATGTGAGAAAAAAATTACCTCAAGTTACCCAAGTGAAGTTATTGTGAAATGATAATGTTAGGTTGGGATGAAGGAATCGACTTCCTTGGCTTCTTTTTAAGTCTTTTCAGTATTTTTAAAAAAGGTTTCAAACGCATTTCTACAATTTCATCTCCATTTTTCTCAATCTACTGCATGCAGTAGGTGTGGAAATGTGTATTGCATCCAGATCTCAAAACGACCCCCAGATGTTTAAGTGATTAGGTAATCTCTTCTTTGGTTCGTGCACATTAACATATAGAGCGCTTCTGAAACACATAAAATTGTATGTCCACACTCATTAGGATGGCTATTATTCGAAAAGAAACAAAACTAGCCAGGCACGGTGGCTCATGCCTTTAATCCCAGCACTCTGGGAGGCTGAGGCAAGAGGATCTCTTGAGATCAGGGGTTTGAGGGGTTTGAAACCAGCCTGGGCGACATCGCGAGACCATCTCTACAAGAAATGAACGGGGCAAGGTGGTGTGTACCTGTAGTCCCAGCTACTCAGGAGGTTGAGGCAGGAGGATAACTTGAACCAGGAGTTCAAGGCTGCAGCAAGTCGTGCTCATGCCACTGCACTCCAGCCTGGGCAACAGCGTGAGACCCCGACAAGGTGGGGAAATCAGAACCCCTGTGCATGGCTGATGGGAATGCTCAGTGCAGCAGTCGCTGTGGAAAACAGTGTGGTGGTTCCTTCAAAAACGAGGAACAAGAATTAACACAGGCTCCAGCAATTCCACTTCTGGGTATACTCGTTGACCCCAAAGAAGCGAAAACAGGGACTCGGAGCAGAAAGCTGGACCGCCTTGCAGCATAACTCACAAAAGCCAAAAGGTGGAAACAGCCCAAACGCCCATCAATGTGTGGATGGATTAAAAACAAGCCGGCTCTCCATGCAACAAAGTGTCCAGCCTAACAGAGGAAGGAAGCACTCCTACTGCTACAGTGTAGACGACCCTTGAAGACACTGTGCTGACACAAATAAGCCAGTCACAAAAGGACGAGACCTCTGTGAGCCCACTAACACGCCGTCCCTAGAACAGTCAAGTTTACCGAGATAGAAAGTAGTATGGTGGCTGCCAGGGGCTGGCAGGAGGGGGAAATGGGGAGTCAGCATTTACTGGGGACAGAGTCTCAGTTTGGGAAGGTGAAAAAGATCTGAGGACGGGCGGTGGTGACGGTTGGACAACAACAGAATGTACTTAACATCACTGGTCTGTTCGCTTAACCACGATCACATGGTAACTTTTATGCTGTGAGTATTTTATCACAATGAAAAATTTAAAAACAAAAATAATGTTTGAACTGAAAAATAAATTAAAAACAGGCCGCTTTGCAAACACTGCCTCCTTGAGCCTTTTTCCATCAGCCACGGTCAACCCCACCGTGTTCTCGATGGAAGTCGATGGTGGTGAGCCCTCGGGCCGCGTCTCCTTCGAGCTGTTTGCAGACAAAGTTCCAAAGACAGCAGAAAACTTTTGTGCTCTGAGCACAAGAGAGAAAGGATTCGATGATAAGGGTTCCTGCTTTCACAGAATGATTCCAGGGTTTACATGCCAGGGCGGTGACTTTACATGCCATAATGGCACTGGAGGCAAAGCCATCTATGGGGAGAAATTTGATGATGAGAACTTCATCCTGAAGCATACAGCTTCCGGCATCTTGTTCATGGCAAATGCTGGACCCAACACAAACGTTTCCATTTTTCGTCTGCACTACTAAGACTGAATGGTTGGATGGCAAGCGTGTGGTTTTTGGCAAGGTGAAAGAAGGCATGAATGCTGTGCAAGCCATGGAGGGCTTTGGGTCCAAGAATGGAAGACCAGCAAGAGGATCACCATTGCTGACTGTGGACAACTCTAAGAAATTGGGCTTGTTTTATCTTAAACTACCAGATCATTCCTTCTGTAGCTCAGGAGAGCACCCCCTCCATCCCATTTGCTCGCAGTATCCCTGGAATCTTTGTGCTCTCGCTACAATTCTTTGGGTTCCATATTTTCCTTATTCCCTTCCACATCTAGTTGAATTGCAGAGAAATAAACTACATAACAAACAAAAATTAAAAACAAATTCACCACAATAAAAAAAAATTGTTTTTTGAGTTGGAGTCTCACTCCATCTACCGAGGCTGGAGGGCAGTGGCATGCTCATGGCCACCCCAGTGTCGACCTGCTGGGATCCGGCGATCCTTCCGCCTCAGCCTTCCAAGTAGCTGGAGCTACAGGCGTGTGCTACCACACCCAGCTGAGTTTTTGACTTATGGTAAAGATGAGGTCTCGTGAAGTTGTCTGGGCTGGTCTCGAACCTCTGGGCTCAGGCAATCTTCTCACCTCAGCCTCCCAAAGTGCTGGGACTACTGTGCCCGGCCATAAAAAATTTTAAATAGTGAAAAAGGAGAGCTGGGCGTGGCGACTCACGCCTGTAATCCCAGCACCTCGGGAGACTGAGGTGAGAGAATTGCCTGAGGCCAGGGAATCAAGAGTCAACTTGGTGCGACCCAGCTACTTGGAAGGCTGAGGCAGAAGGATCACCCGAGTCCCTGTGGTGTGCTCCTTCACACAGACCCATCACCTGCACGTTCCATTTTCTTTGACATTGGAAGTTCCTCTCCTATCTGGCCCTGAGACTGAGGGGAGCTTGAGTCATTTTTCTAGTCTTTTCTTCTGTTGCCTAGAAGTGACGTCTTCTGTACAAAGTGTCCAGCTAGGAAGCGGGTCTGTCTTTGCAGAACGCGTATAATGCTGTCTCCACAATCATGGTGAAATGAAGAATTTGACAACGCAGCCTAAGGTCATGGCTAAGTCATATTTAAGGCCATGGAGGCATTCGGTTGGAAGCCCATGGGCCGTTCTCACCTCAGTGTCATGACCATTCCTACCCGCCAGTTCCTTTAGGTTTTAGACCTCAGGCATTGGGGGGCAGTTAAGATAATTCTTTGGGGCGAGAGATACATATACAGATCAGGACTGTGGTTGGTGGACGAGGTGAAGACGACCCACCCCAAAGCTGGGCACCCCTGCCCCCTTCAGACCAAGTGGGGAGCTGACCGTTTTGGTAGAGCCAGGGTCTCGCTAGATGGCTCAGATGGGTCTCGAACTCCTGGGCTCAAGTGATCCTCCCACCTTGGTCTCCCAGAGTGTTGGGATGACAGGTGTGAGCCACCATGCCAGCCAAACTCAGAGTTTTAGAGACAGTGGGTTCTCCTCCATCCTTCATGTATTCCAGAAGGTTCTGCGTATGCTGCAAGCAGCAAACACTCACCTGGGGGTAGCCTGATCTCAAGCATCGTAAGCAGTCATGCATTCGGAAATCTCTGAGGGACGTTCTAAGCGGGAGGCTGTGGCCACTGTGATCCTTCCCAGCCGAGAAGCACCGTGGCGGAACGTGGATGCCCCTGGCCGTGGACACGTGATCTCCAGACTCCTATCTGCAACGGGCCGTGGTTTTATCACGTGGTTTTATCACTTTTTGAGTTTGGAAACAGGCCATGCTTTGGATCTGCTTTTCAGGGCTCTCTCTTAGGGGTGCTCATTGTTGTTTGCGTCTGTGGCTGTGCTGGAATACAACCTTCCTGCCACAAGGCCCCATATTCTCCCATCAACTGAGGCTCAGTTTGTGGGTGTTTACCGCGAACGTCTTCGGGGGACAAAATGTTCCATGTGCAGACTGTCATTTTTACGGTCCGTGAATGCCTTATCTGTCCGGTGGGATGACCTCACAGAGCCGCTATGACTCCCCAGAATGGGACGCGTACGTCTTCAGGATGGAGAGCACTGGCTCATCTGGCCTCCCCACGCCTTGCCCCACCCTGCTGCCTCCAATGGGGGGGAGTGACTAACCATCGGAGCGGACTCGTTTTCCTTCCATTGTCAGCAAACGCCTTTTAGCCTTGACTTCTTGGCTGGGAAGTCTGACTCCGGGAATAAAACTGCAGTCTTTCCTTGGCAGGAGCACGCTGTCACCATTTCTGTTTACTGAGGTGAAATGCACATACCATAAAAACGAGTCATTTGGAAGCGTGCGAGTCGGTGGCCTTGGGTGCCGTCGGCGTTGCGCAACCACCGCCTCTGTCTAGTTCCAGAACATTTTCATCACCCCAGAAGGAAATCCTGTCCCCATTAAGCAATCGCACCCCGCATGGCCTCTTCCCCACAGCTTCTGGCTGCCACCAGTCTGCCTTCTGTCTCGATGGGGTTCCCTATTCTGGATATTTACTTAACTGGAATCAGTCCTACAGTGTGCAACCTTTTGTGTCTGGCTCCTTTCACTTAACATTGTAGCCCGTGCAGTTTTCATGGCTGGATAATATTCCATGGGGTGGGTGGATCGACTACAAAGTATCTGTTTGTCCATTTGTGGACATCTGGGGTGTTTCTTGCTTTAGCTATGGTGAAAAGTGCTGCTGTGAAGCTGCGTGTGAATGAATATCAGCTTCGGCCCCTGTTTTGAATTCTTGCAGGTGAATTCCTAGGAGTCTAGCTGCTGGATCCTACAGCAACTCTGTGTTGATTTTTTTGAGCGATTGCCAAACTTTTTACCACCTCAAGTCCCCACCAGCAACGCCCGAGGGTTCCCATTCCTCCACACCCTCCATTTTCCAATTTTTGGGCGGGTGCTGTCCTAAGATGTGTCACCTCTGAGCTGTCCCTCCGAGCTTCCGACAGGATGGAACCTTACACGGAATTCCACCCGGCTTCCACTCTGAGGAAGGGCCAGCCATGGTCTCAGGAGACTGTGAATTCGACTCTACCCACCCCCCTCCCTGGGAGCGAGCCTTACTGC